CCAAAACCCCAAAACCCCAAAACCCCAAAACCCCAAAACCCCTTGCCAAACTCGTATTATTGAATAACACAGAGAGTCATTTTGAAATTGGTTTTAAACTTCTGAAAATTATTTCTTCTTTGACTTGCTCTTATTCTTGGATTTTGATTTTTTATCCTTGGATTTAGAGTTCTTATCTTTAGACTTAGACTTTCCGTTCTTTTTGTCTCGGCCGCCCTTGTCTTTTCCTCTTCCTCTATCTTTAGATTTTTTGTCTTTCTTATCATCCTTTTTTTCTCCTTTCTCGTCTTCACCAAGAGCGTAGAAGCAAAGTCCAGCAGCAACAAGTCCTAAGATTCCGAAAAAGATGAATTGAATAAGAATACAGCTTCCTCCAGAGCATTTTCCGCTATCATTTCCTGCTTGCCATTCATATACAAAATCAAAGAATTCTCCAAAGATTAGCATTCCAAGAACATTCAAGAACAACGTGAATCCCCAGTTAAGTCCGAAATTAGTCTCTCCAGCATCTTCCATAACAATTGAAGGTACAAGTACCCAGAAAAGTCCTGAAGCAAAGGCGATCAAGAGGGTAGCCATGAAGAGGAACACACCACCAACTGGCTCAGTGAGAAGAGCTAGTCCAAAGCCGAAAGCTGCGCAAGCTCCAGCTCCAATAGCCCACTTGTACCCATTGATAGAATCAATCAGGAAATAAGCGCAAAGTCCTCCACCAATACGCCCAAACATATCTGCTCCCCAGAAGGCATCGAGCAAGTTATCAGCTGAGTCGATCTCTCCTAATGCAAAGGCTATCTGGAAGATGTTGAAACTAAAAGTGCATGTGATTCCGATCACTCAGAGGGAAGAAAATGCCAAACATAAATATTTAGGAGTGCCCAGCATTTCTTCAAATTTGATCTCCTTTCTCTTCTCTTTATTCAAAGAGAGTCCTTTCAGTCCTGCAGATTTAGCTTTTGAGTAGACGATATAGAATGATGCTCCAACAGTCAAAAAGTTCAGTACAAGAACAACAATGAACATGATTCCGCCAACAAACCAGTTCTCATAGATTAGTGAAACGATATAAAAAGCTCAGAAGAAGATTACTTCGATGAGGACATAAGCCAGGAGGCCCATCACATCGTATTTTTTTATCATATTCTCAATGCTAGCGTCGAGTTCTACTTCTTTAATCACTATTGCACCAACTGCGAAGATAAGTGCTTGGATGAGCCCAACTCCAATGAAGTACCATTTTAAATCTGGCTCTTCAAAGAAGGCGCTTCTAATAGCAAACTCGAAGTAAGGAGCAATTTTATAGTAACCGATCAAGATCACAATGATCAAGATTCCAGCATTCTTTGGGAAACTTTTAACTGGAGTTACTATAGCTGCAATGGTAGCAATACCACCACTCATTGCTCCGGTAAACAAGAACACAAGCATTGAGATCTCTGCGAACATATTGTCTGCTTCAACAATGAAACCTAGGGCTGTGAAGGACACTACAGCCATGAAGGCTGCAATAAAAAGAGCAATTGTGTCTCCAAGCGCTCTATTGATTAGTCCAGGTAGCAAACCAAGGTAATACCCAAAAAGCACGGTATACTTGATTGCTGTCATTGTTGTTGAGCTATATCCTTTTGGTGCTCCAATCTGTTGGAAGTAAGCAAAGAGGTTGTAACAGGCTCCTGCAGTGCAGACCACTAAGATGCTCATTGGGATCCCAACCCATTTAGCTATCATATCGTTCTTAATCTTTTCAAACTTGTTTGCTCCGGGAATCTTAGATTTCGGCATTTGAAGTTTAAATATATTATTTTAAAATTTTGTAATTTAAGTAGATTCCTCAACCATTGTTAGTATTAATGGGGTTTTGGGGTTTTGGGGTTTTGGGGTTTTGGGG